GTAATAGTATGTGTACACAATTAAAAAAAATAAAATCAAGTCATTCTAATTCTAAAATGGGAATATATATATATATATATATATATTTTATCTACAAGACTTGTATGTAAGAACTTTTTTAAAAGGATCGAATCTAATGTCACTTAAATCAATAGATTGTAGATACTTAAGTGTTACTTATTCTAAATGATTATTTTAACCTTTTTTATATTTAATTCAATACCATTTCATTCGGTCCCTATTTTCAACCAACGGATACAAAGAAATAAAATTCTTTAGGATAGAAAAGAAAAAAAGAAAAAGGTAATAAAATTTTAACGATCCAATAATTCATATTCTGTATTAAATTTTAATGATTCAACTGTTAAATTTAAAGTTCTTAATGCATAGATCAAATATGCAAATTTTTAAAGAATTTAAAAATTATTTGATATTTCGTTTCATTAATTAAAATTGATCAATAATTCAACCAAAATGAGCGGCCAAAGCGAGAACAACTCGAATTGTATTCATCTTTGCCACTGGGGAAAACGTTTCCTCATAGTCAATCCCATAAGTTTGGGTTTAACCTTTTGCCACCAATCTAGCTTTATATCTTTCTATTGTTTAATTAAAATTGATCAATAATTATAAAATTATTTTATACGTTGATTTAAATTAATAAAATAAAATATTAAATAGTCTACAAATTTTTATAAAATTTATAGACTTGATCTATACATTAAGAACTTTAAATTCAACGATTTGATCATTAAAATTTGATGTAGAACATGAATTATTGAACGTAATAATTCTATAAAGACTTACTCCTAGAACAAACAAATTCTTCCTCATATATATAAATTTATCTACTAAGAGCTCTTGTTTACTTTTAGATATAAAAACTATAAATATGAATCATACAATTATACATAAATAGTTAAGGTATGTGTGTACGCTTGCCAATAAGAGCTCTTGTTTACTGTTAGATACAAAGAACTACAAATCTGAATCATACAACTATACATAGATGGTTATAATGTGTGTGCGCCTTCTAATTCAGCATAAAATATCCAAAAGAATTAGCTTATCAATGAAAATTTATATCATGCAGATAATGAAGTGATACCGTATGTGTTTCAACAAGCTCTTTGAGAAAGAAATAAAAAAGATTCGATAAAGCACAGGTTGGGTTCAGCTCACATCAAACTTAACGTTGGTTGGAGTATCAACCCCAACAATATCGTAGACATTTATCTTGGTTTTGTTTAACTGGTTCAGGAATGCTAACAACACATCTTATTATTGCTTAGAACTTGTCGAAAATTATAGGAGAAAAGTTCATTAAATGATAAGTGACTCATGCCAAAAATATGAAATTTATATCAAGTTTTAACTAATAGTAAAAGAATGCTCAAAATAGAGTGTGTCGAAGATTTTTTTTATTGAATTTTTAATGTATATTTTTCAAGATATGAAGACTCAAACTAGTCTCAACTCAGAAAACTAAAAACCAAATGAAATCATAAAAATGAAATATATACATTAGTGCACTATTGTATGAAATAATGAAAAGAATAAAAAAATCAGCTGCCAGCGTCGAGACATATCAAATATGCCCGGTTATTATCTTCAACACGAACCCATGAAACAAGAAATTTCATGTATTCTCCGATTCATCAAACAGTTACTGGCAGATTAGACATGCATGAGAATGAGATTGTCTTAATTCTGGGGATGCTTTATGATTCTCTGCAGTACCACAGTCCTTGCCCTCCTTATGTCACGGCTACAAATATCAGCTTGAACTCCTAAATCTTCAACATTCTTCATAAACACTCCTAGCCTCTTCTTGATCTCCTCTATGGCAACTTTCACAGCTTGTTCCTCTATGGCAAAATCCACATTATGCAATAGAGATTCAATCTCAATTTCTAGTCTATCAACTAGAACTCGAATGTTGTCCAAGTCCTTTATAGCAACATAAGTACCAGCCTGCATTGAGCTAATCACTTCCTTCTGCCCTTTCAATGCATTTTCATAGTTCCTCCAGAGGGAATCGATCCACTTTCCCATTGATCCTATTGGGATCGACGTAGCAGCAGCAATCGCAGCAGCAACAGGCGGTGCTGCAATAGCTGCTGCTACAACCGAGCAGATCAAGACTGCAGCAAAAGTAGCCACAAAGATCATACTTGAAACTTTCCTCCAAGAATGGATGTATTTTAGCTTCTTATCAAGCTTGTTCTTCCTTAGTTGCAACTTTTCAAGCATGAGTATCTGGTGCCTATAAACAGACTGAAAGATCTGGAAGAATTCCTCAGTGAAAGGGTCACCAGCTTCCTTGAAATTCTTAAACTCTCGCAATGTCCTCACATAGCGGTTGTCTCCTAATCCTGATTCCTCCTCAAATTGTTGAAGAGCCACAAGGATAAGCAATTGGCTATCACGAGCTCTCTTTAGGCACTTCTCCAATGTGGTGCAGAAATCCAAAGTTTGGAGACTATTCTCAAAGTACTCCTCAACCAGTTCAAACAATTCTTGGCTCTTCCATATGTCTTTCTTGCAGTCCAAGATTACCTTGACAACTTCCTGATTCATCTCAAGAAGGCATTCTGTGATTTGTTTTAGAGAATCAAATGAAAGGGCCCGAACTTCAACACCAACAGCAAGAGTGTTGATAACCTGGTTTGTTCTAGCTTGAAGTGTGGTGTCAAAGGACTGCAAATCAGAATCAAGCTTGCAAGCAGCCTCATATGAACTCAACTCAGTTTTATAGTGCAATTCGGTGCCGAAGCCAATAGAAGAAGAAGTTTCAGGGATCTTCTTGCTCATATGACTCCCCATTTTGCTAATGATCTAATAACCAAAAAGAGTGAAAGCTCAAAACCCTATGTGATCAATTCCTTGCCTAAGCAATCAAGCGAATGATATTATGATAACCCAATTCACTATTTTTGATGCAATTTTCATAGAACAATAAGAGAAATATGATTTAAAAGAAGTGCTATCTCAAAGAGTTGCACACATCAGAAACATTAATAATATGATTCCAGTCACAGCAAAAAGACTAAAACGAGTAAAACCGAAATGAAACAGACCCAGATAGAGATTTTGGAAAAGTTCAAACCTTTGAAAGTGATTGAAGACGAGGAATCCAAGACAAGGACAATGAAAAGCGATGGAGCTAAAGGGTGGTTTGTTTGGGAGAGAAAAGGGAGAAGAAGGAAAGAAGTTGAGGTGGAAGAGGGAATGCAGAATCTTAAAGGCAAATAAAGCGGTTAAGAACCAAGAAATGTGGGTGGGTTGAGATATGAGAATGGCTTGCACGCATGAGAAAAATGAGGTGTTGAATATTGAAAGATGGTAAACGCCACAAGCAATGAAAATATATGAAATGACCCTTCTCTCTCTCTCTCTCTCTCTTGAAACTACTAGCTAGGTTCTGTTCTGTGTCACCGTCTTCCCTTTTACACTAGAGAGTGCACAATTTTAACGCGCAAAGCAACAAAGATTGGCCACGAGAGAAGGAGTTAGAAGCAACGTAGGTAAGCTCCAGAACAAGAAGCGCAAGCTTCACCTTAATGAGACTCGTTAGTCGTTAACGACACACAACACATTCACTGAACCACAAACTAGGATGCGATTTGTGCCTTTTTTTATAGCACAAGTTTTCAAAGGGAACCTCAAAACACCGCGTGCTGCCATTAATGCCACTTTGACAATTTTACCCAAACCCAACCCTTTTCGCTCCCTATTTCGTTTAGAATAACGTTATTCTCACGTCAATATTTCATGATTTTTTTTTTCATAACATTTTCTATTACATTATATTATTTTTATTTTTATACCTCTAGATAAAAAAATAAGTAACCACGAACATGTCAATCAATTTCTATGAAATTATTTAACTTGATCAAGATCTTAGATATACAATTGTCTCAATTACTTTAATTAGTGTTTTAGCTACTGGTTAATTAACAAAACTTTTTCATTTATATCCAAATAGAAATGAAAAAGAGCACAAAAATTTAGACACTAATTTAAATTTTAATTGAAAATCAGTGGTAAAAGTTTAAGCATTCAAGTTTTGTTTTAAAAGAAGGTTATCACTAAGTGTACAGTAACCAAGAACGAATATAATATTAAAAAAATCATTTAGTTTGATTTTTATTAGAATTTGATTGACTTATACTTGCAAGTCTCCCACAATAATATTCTAAATTCCATAGCGGAGTTTCTAAACAAGCTTCGCTGGGGCTTGCGGAAGAAATCTGAATAAGTTGGATTAAGTGGCTAGAAAACAGAAATATTATAAAGACATAGCTTTAAAGTTGTGTTGGTAGAAGAGTATACATATACATAAACCTAAACCTACATGTTTGTTGCTCCTGGAACATTATAACTTTAAATATATATGGCTAACTCGGAAGGACAATGCTATTAGCTACTAATTATGTTAGCACCACTTTGGCATACGTATGTGTCTATATATGTATTCACCAAAAAAAAAAGTGTCTATATGTGTGTTTTTATCTGTTTAAGCACATAGCACACATTATTGCAATAGATTTAACGTGAAAGAGAAAATTTGGTCGGGTTTGGTTAACGGCATTTAAAGTCAACGTATTTACAAATTTTCTAGTAGTATAGATGTTTGGTTTTTTAATCTGTACAAGCTTCTTGACATTCAAAACGGAGAAGTAATAATCAGTTGTTTTCTGATCACGTACGTTCTTAGTGTAAATTAAAAACAAACCACACATCGGAATCGTAATTTACAATCTGAGATATAAAAGTAAATAATTCTCAAATTTAGAAATTTACATCTCCAAACTTTAGAACCAATTTTGTTATTGATATGGTATGGAAGGCATATCTAGAATAACTTAGTAATAGTATGTGTACACAATTAAAAAAAATAAAATCAAGTCATTCTAATTCTAAAATGGGAATATATATATATATATATATATATTTTATCTACAAGACTTGTATGTAAGAACTTTTTTAAAAGGATCGAATCTAATGTCACTTAAATCAATAGATTGTAGATACTTAAGTGTTACTTATTCTAAATGATTATTTTAACCTTTTTTATATTTAATTCAATACCATTTCATTCGGTCCCTATTTTCAACCAACGGATACAAAGAAATAAAATTCTTTAGGATAGAAAAGAAAAAAAGAAAAAGGTAATAAAATTTTAACGATCCAATAATTCATATTCTGTATTAAATTTTAATGATTCAACTGTTAAATTTAAAGTTCTTAATGCATAGATCAAATATGCAAATTTTTAAAGAATTTAAAAATTATTTGATATTTCGTTTCATTAATTAAAATTGATCAATAATTATAAAATTATTTTATACGTTGATTTAAATTAATAAAATAAAATATTAAATAGTCTACAAATTTTTATAAAATTTATAGACTTGATCTATACATTAAGAACTTTAAATTCAACGATTTGATCATTAAAATTTGATGTAGAACATGAATTATTGAACGTAATAATTCTATAAAGACTTACTCCTAGAACAAACAAATTCTTCCTCATATATATAAATTTATCTACTAAGAGCTCTTGTTTACTTTTAGATATAACTACTATAAATATGAATCATACAATTATACATAAATAGTTAAGGTATGTGTGTACGCTTGCCAATAAGAGCTCTTGTTTACTGTTAGATACAAAGAACTACAAATCTGAATCATACAACTATACATAGATGGTTATAATGTGTGTGCGCCTTCTAATTCAGCGCTAAATTGATTTTGGACCAGACGAAAAAAATTAACAAAGATTTGGAAAACTTCTGATTTATTTTTCATAAGGTATGTCCATGTGACACGGGTACAATCATCAATAAAGGTAACAAACCATCTAGCTCCGAAAATAGATTCTACGACAGGTCCCCAAACATCAGAGTGAATTAAATCAAATGGAGAAGTACTCTTTTTATTACTAATAGGATAGGATGCACGATGGTGTTTTGACAATTGACAAATATCACAATTAAAAGACTCAATAGACTTCTTAGTAAACATATGAGGAAATAAGGATTTAAGAAGGTTGAATGAAGGATGCCCAAGCCTTTTATGATGTAGCCATATTTGGGAATTTGCCCACGTTTCAGATGTAGCTTGTTGACTCATGATTTTTGTTTTGTTTTGGTCATCAGATTCCAACAAATACAACCCACTCTGCTCTTTAGCAGTTAAAATTGTCTTCCCCGTAGCAAGGTCCTGAAAAACACAATGAGTTGAGAAAAATGTTACTGAACAATTTAAATCTTTTGTGAGCTTTTGCACAGAGATAAGATTATTGGCTAATTGTGGAACATGTAAAACATCCTTTAATACAATAGATGATTCCAAAATTATATTCCCAGAGCCGCATATGGGTACACCTTGACCATTCGCAACTGTAATAAGTTGTTCTCTATTCCTTTGAATATATGATTTGAAGATCATACGAAAAGGTGTCATATGATCAGTTGCTCCTGAATCAAGAATCCAAATACCTTGAGACACAAGACTCACAGTATGGAGAGAACTCTTACCTTTCATGGACAAAGTACATGGTCCAGAGGGCTTACTTATTGATTCAATCATTCCTTTCAAATGATCTAGTTCCTCTTTAAAAGCTTTCATC